GAGCTTGTTGTGTGACTCCCTTCCCTAATTGGTCCTGGAATTAATCAATTTCACCTGAGCCATGGTGCTTGTAATCCCATTGGTCAACTATAGTTTTGTCCCACCTCTTGTCCACCTAAGCGAGTTCCCTTTTTCTCTACCTTAGCCCCGCGAGATTTTGCCCCATAAAGATAACCAGGAAGATACAGCTTCCTAGACAACCCGCTCCGGCCCCACTTCTGTCCCTTCTAAGGCAGAAGCTTTCTTTCCCAATATATATTCTACTCTCAACCTCTGTTTGTTCGTGAAATTCGTTCTTCAATTTTAGAGGACACAAACTCATCCCACGTGCCTTTCAGGATGAGAGATCACTTTGCCCCTATATCATTTGGAGGTCACTCACCAAGATCATTAGATGGAGGTATGAGTTTGCTTTTCTTCATAAATTGGGACTTGCTTAGGTAACATTTTTATGCTTCCAATGTTGATGTCTTTGCTCATTGCTCATAATTGTTCATGCTTTGCCTCATACAGTTTGGCCTCATATAGTTCTGTTAAAATTGCTTACAATTGCTTTTACTGTCTCATGGTTTTGCTAAAATGTGGGTCAAAATGTTGTTGGTAAATGTAAGTTAAAACATGGAAATGTTATAAGGTTATATGTCCTATTTCTCTAATAGGACATTTTATGACTGTTTTCTACTTATATATGTTGCTTTTGAAGTAGTTACTAAATGTACTGTTATTCCTTGCTCCATTTTAGACAATAGCATTAGAGTAACGTTAGTAAGCCTCCTAGTGGACTTCATGTAAACTTTTGTAAAATGGGACTTTTATCCAGCTCAGACTTAGAAAATACATGTCTGTTTATAAAACACAGGACTTCTTTTGCCAACTAAATGATATTAGGTTGGCAACTGTTTTTAAAGACTCGGAGGACTGGTTTCACTGGGATGGACTGGTTCTGATCCCCCTCCACATGCTTGAGGAAATGTCAGGCCTGCTCTGTTTCAGTTTCCTTTCTTTGACTTTATTCCTAATTTTCCCACCTCTTTGTACTTTCCTTTTTAGAGGCATGTAAAATTAGGAAAAACTCTAGACTGTTCCAACTATGTGAAACCCTTAGAAAATGAGCGTTTGTTAATGCCGAAGACAGGGAAGTCAATTTAAAAAGGACACATACTCTGTCCGTCCAGGAGGACACACATAAAAGCCATGTCCCGGCTTAGTGTTCTGGGTAGGTCTCCTTCGGGAGGCTAAACCTAAGACACAGTGGAGAGAACCAACTTCTGGGTTCTTCTGCCCTCTTAGTGTGAGGGCAGATCTCAACCATTTCTCCTAGTTCTAATTATAAATTATAGACTTTAAAACCTTGATTGTAAAGTGCTAGGCAATCTTGTTCAGGCTTTTAACTTTCCTTTATAGAACTTGGACAAACAGCGGTTACTCTGCCAGCTAGGAAATGCTCTTAGAGCCGCTGCCACTGTTTGAAGTAGAGGACAGTTTTCCCCAGCCGTTCTTCGGTGAATCCCCATTGAAGCCCATGGCTGATGGAATGTTGACCAGAGAAACCATTAGATTCCTTTCTGGAGACTGAGCTCTGGTTGTGTGAGCCAATAGAAGCTGACAACACCTGAGGGGTCATGGCCTGGGCTACTCTCTGGCAGATACCTAAAGGTGGTTGGTGGAAACTGGCTCTTGACCACTGAAAGATCTCCACTTAGCTATTGTACTTTGTCTCTCCTTGCTAATAAACTAGGAATTCTTGGGCTGGTGAGATGGCTCAGTGGTCTAAAGCACTTACTTAGAACAAGCTTAGCAAAGCACAGGGACTGCGGTTCAATCCCCAGCACCACATGCCAGCCAGCTCCATCCCTTGGTGGGCTGAGCTGGCCACACACACACACACACACACACACACACATAAATAAATAAAATTAAAAAAAATAAACTAGGAATTCTGCTTGAGATTTTCACAAGAACAACTTAATGAGTCACTATTTCAGAAATTAGGCTGAGGCAGCTTACAATATTTTACGTTGTACGGCAGTTATCAAGGGAATGACTTACATCTGTACCTTACGTGTTAGCTAAGAGTAAGAATTTTTTGCCAGCTGTATTGTGTTTTTATCAACATGTAAAATGTGATTGTTGATAAATGTTTTTCCTGTGAACTTAAAGGTTCAATCTCACGTAGTTGCTAAAAATGTTTACCTAGAGGTCTATGTAGGTCCGCAGACGCGGGTCTATATTACATACAATGGGTTTTGTTAAGGTTGTTGAGAATAAGACCTACTTTAAGAGATACCAAGTGAAGCTGGGGAGATAGCTCAGTAGAATAATTGCTTGCCTGGCAAGGGCCTGAGTTCAATCCCCAGTTCCACGAAAGAAAAAAAAAAAACTAAGTTTTTGGGGCCAGTGGGATGGCTCAGTGGAATAAGCGCTTCCCTGGCAAGTGCAAGGGCCTGAGTTCAATCCCTGGTTCTGCCAAAAAAAAAAAAAAAAATTGCATATAGCCTGTCCATGGTATGGATTCCTGCAAGTCTGCCATGTGCCCAAATCATCTTCCTGAAAGTGAGGGGTGTGAACTTCTGGAATACATGCAGGAATGGTAGGTTTAAAATCTGTTACAAGGGTACCATCCAACGTAATAGAATTTAGGGTTAATAAAGC